TCGTTTCTTTAAAATATTCAATATATACATTTATGTTCATTTTTTTAATCCGAAGGACCTCGAAAAATATTTTGCACCGAGGCCTCCTGATGACAATATTTATAATTCATATCTGACTGTATACCTTCTAATTTCGGATATATTTTTTAATAAATAAATAAATGATAAAATCAATTTAAAATAATTGAGTGAAATTACTGTATGTAAATAAATATATAAAGTCAAGTCACTTACGTATTGTTTATTACTTGTAAATAGTAGAAAAAAAAAATGGTTACACCCTCTAGACGAAAAAGCTTTTTTAAGTATTTTTGTTGCCATTTTTATTGTAAGAAAAATAAATGCTCCTGTAGGCAAAAATTAAATATATTGTTCCCTTCTAGTATTTCTTAACATCTTTTTTTAGATTTTTTTAAAAAGAGATTTATTCAAATTTTCAGAAAGTGACGTCAGAGAGATACGGGTTCAGTCTTTGCCTGTAATTTTCTTGTATTAAAATTAAAAAATAATCTGTAAAATTAGTGTACTATGAAACCCTTGCATAAAATATACAGTGAGCACCATAAGTCTTACCCTCCTATCTAACTCGTTACTGGAAAATCGCCGAGACACGTCGATTTTTGATTTCTACAATGTACATTTTTGTATGAATAGTTTTCCCTTAATTTTATCCCTAACTGGAGAGGAGCAACCCTTTCGAAAAATTTAAATGGCATGGGATGGTGAGTGATAGCTCATTTGAAAGAGGGTTTTATTCTCTATTCAACCGTATAAAAAAAATTGAAATTTGCTTCATTAATTCTCGACTAATTGTTGTTTCAGAATAACGGAAATTAACGTAGCGCACTCATCCTTAGAATTAAAATTCGGCCCTGCATGATTTCGGTTTTGGTTCAGACGTGAAGTAAGACTTTTTGTCATTAGAAGGTCACTGTTAGTCTAGTTGCTTTCCTATTTTGTGAGGTTTTGTTATTTTTAAACATTAATAAATCAACACGTAATGAAGCAAATTTCAAAATTTTTTACACGGTTGAATAGAGAATAAAACCCCCTTTCAAATGAGCTATCACTCACTACCCCATGCCATTTAAATTTTTCGAAAGGGTTGCTGCCCTCCAGTAAGGGATGAAAATAAGGGTAAACTAATCATGCAAAAATGTACATTGTAGAAATCAAAAATCGACCTGTCTCTGCGATTTTTCCTAACAAGACCCCAGTAACTAGTTAGTTAGGGGGGGTAAGACTTATGATGCTCACTGTATATGCAAATCTTAGTATTACAGAAATGATTTACGTAAAAACATTAGGTATACAAATACGTAAAATTCATTTATCCCTCGTAAAACATCAGTAAAATATATTATTCACAAATATTTCCTAAAAATCTAACAGAGGCACCATTTTTCAGACGAAAAATCTTGCAATGTAGGTGTTTCGTAGTACCCCACTTTCAAAGTTTATTTTTGACTTTTTCTAAAAGAAAAAAATATGTACGTGTAGGCAAAGGTTAAATTTGTGCTCTTTCGGAACCAGTTTTTAAAATTCAATTTATTTTTCTCAAAAAAAAAATTGAGAAAATGAGTAAAAAAAGTCGAGTTTTGTATTTTTTTCACATATTTTATACTACTGATATTTTCAAGGTCTTACTTAAAAAAAAGCAGGAACGTTTCCTAGAATGTTACAACAAACTCGAAATTCGTTTGACATTATAATTGAAAGGATCCTTTTTATCAAACAATTTTTTTCCTAAAATTAACCTTTCATTTATCAAAAGAAAATCTAATATTTAGCTGGAAACGAAAAAAGTCCATAAAATATCGACGACAGGATAAAATTTTTGACACGTGACCTATAATTTAACAAGCCAGTTCAACATCTCCTATGGCAACGAAACTGCAGGACTAAAATCCTGCACTTTTGCACTCTTATACGCGACGTTGCCGTTCATATTGTTTGCGAAAATTTCAAATATTCCTAAATTTTATATCATATTTTGCATCAACTTTCGTGTCATTTATATGAAAATAAAGGAATATCTAGATATTTTAACATATTACTATTTTTAAAACTTTTAATCCAACTACAGTTAATAAATTAAAATAAAAAATGAATTAGGTTTCAAATAAAATAATACATTTCAATAAATAACTATTTATTTAAGGAAAACAACATGATATTAAATTTAATATTTTTCTGCAAATTATCAAAATTGTATTTCGTGTATCTATATATGCACTTCTAGGCTACCAATGAACTAAGAAGACACATAGTACTGTTCTTAGAGTGCGTTTCTATGCTTAGAGTCTAGTGCTGTCTTCATTATAAAAATCGCACAAAAATTACACCTTTGTCTTAGGCACCTTTCCATGAGATCCTCCTGTAGTGGAAGATCGTCTTGCTATTTTCTTTTTTTTGTCATATCCTTTTATTTTTGTCTGTATCTTCAGCAACAAGTTCTTCCTTGTAAGGGATGCTGGTTAAAACCATAGAATTTTTACCTACATAACTTTTTTAAATTTATTTACTATTATTTTTCTTTTCATTAAATTTTTGGGTGTATCACCATCACTATTAACTTAAATAATTATATATTATGCTAGAATTACAAATTAATTAATTTTGTTTCTTATCTGAGCCAGGCGTTACTATTAAATAATTGACTGGCAACACCGCACATATCCTGGTCAGGAGTTTAGCATCTCCTCAATGAAATATTTCTACTGATCCTGCCATGCTGTCGAGAATCGCTAGTGTTATCCCGATGACTAGTCTCTGTAATGTCCTGTCGTCCTTTTTTCAGCTGTCAATACCTATAGATTCTTGCAGAGCGGAATGTGTTACTTCCATTTAAATTGCGATAGAACTGATAGATACAGGGTAGTGAAATAAAATGCTTTATCAATAAAATAATGGAAATAACGTTTTATTAATTTAATAAAAACATTTATTAATCCATTAGAAAACAAATTAAAGATTCCATTGCTATTAAAGGCTGTTAACGACTGTATTTTAAAACAAGTATTTTTGTAAAAAAAGTCAAAAAATTATTAAAAGTTATTTTCCTCATCTCCTTTGCTATAGTAGGTTGTCACAGTAAATTATCCTGTAGGATATAGCCCAATAAAGGAAGAAGAAAAAGATATAGATGCCATTTACAAACTTAACTATATTCTTAATGTAATTACTAAAAAATAATAAGTTGCTATATGTGACTCCTAAATTCTTTACCTCAATACAACATTCAAGACTCTCTGCATATTGTTAAATTGTTTATTTTTATTTTCCATTTAACACAATAGTTTACGTTTTGAATGTGTTTAATAGCAGTTTATGAAACTCGTTCATGTTGCGGGACCTCGCTCTGATCGTTCTGCAAATATTCACTCGTTACATAATATAAGGCATTTCGTAACGTGATACAAACAATGGGGGTTATGATTGTCAACTTCTGTTATTTTTAACAGGTCTGTTATTTTATATCCACATAGAAATGACAACCTATTCACAAATAACGTGTCCACAAAGCACATAGAGGTTCCACGTGAATGACCAAGGTCAAAACCGACAAATGACATTTATTATGCTATTTGCTCCAAACTCTAGATGGGGCTACTGGTGAAATTATGATTTCTTACTCCATTTTTAAGCTTTATGGGAGAAAAACAACCAAAAACTCCAAAGATGTGACGTGTATTTATTTATGTTTTGGGATAGTCGCATTTTTCCGTCTGATTTTAGTGATTTTTTGTTGGCTTTAGTTTCTGTTTATAGTTTCGTCTTAGTTATTTGCAAAATCGTGATGTTTTGCTTTTCTATTTCCTACTGTGTTTTGCAATAATTTTGGTGCTACGTTAAAAATTTCGAGAAAAACTTCATTGATTTACCATGCATCATAAAAAACGGGTAAACAATTTATCACTGTACTAGATTCCGAAATCATTTTTCACATAAGATGAGTATACCATTTGTATTTGGAAGGAAAATATTTATCAGTGAATGAATAGTTAAAAGGATTTACCTTCCTGGCTCATGAGCTAGGATGTGCCTATCATCTTAGGAGATGCAGAATGGGCCTAATGAGAGACACAAGTGCCGTGGGGGTAACCCACCCTCCACACGTTACAGAGAGAGGATTCACCTTTTAACCCAATACCTATATTACAATTATCCTTCAGGTAAAAAGACATTTATAAAAAATAACTTTAGTGTTAATAAAATGTTATATCCTAGTTTCTACTTCACATTTCAATATATTGATATTGTAAAGATTTGAGATTGTATACCTATTTACTCCAAGTAAGTATTCGTTAAATATGTATTATTATTTGTATTTATTTTGTTCTAATAATATTTATTTAAGTTATTAATAAACATATTTTAAGAATGTTCTATTTATTATTTATTGATATATCTTATATTTTATTTAATAATAATATACAGAACCAACTCTCCAAATTAGACCCATTATAACAAATTAATTCCTTAAATTTTGCATATTGACCTAAATTATTTTATAAAATAAAAGTTTCGAACTTACTAGTTCCATACTTTATTTTATAAAATAATTTATGTGGAAATCATTTAAAATTTAGAACTATTACCTACTACTAAAAATTATAATTTGAATTTACCGTCATCTGTCAATTGTCATTTTAGTTTCTGCTCCAAACTCAAGGTGGCGCTAATTTGGTTTAAAATTCTACCATTGGCGTGGGGTCTCTAGAAGATAACGTGTCTGTTTAAAATAACATTATTTGTTCATCATAACCCCAAATATATTTATAAAATTGCGTTTTGGTAGAAAGTTACTGAGATCTAGGCAACCAATATTACTACTTTCTTGTATAGTTAGTTGCATATGTATCATTTTATTGACAAATAAATAGAACATATTAATTATTTATTCCCAACGAATTGTAGTGTCTCTGGCTTATTAAAGTTATTTAGTTTTATCGGCAAACAAAAGGTACTTCGAATTCTTAAGAATAGAAGGTAGATCATTAATAACTGGTAAAACTAATAGTAGTCCTATATATGGACTTATAAACATTAATATACTGATTGAAATAGGAAACAATTGATTTGTTTTTTCTTAATTTATTGAAAGTCACACATATATTTATATCAAAAAAATTTACATCACAAACAGCTTTTTTCCTTTTCTGTATATCAGGTAGGTACGGCTTATTTTCCATAACTTCCACTAGAAATAAAAAAGTATATTTATAAAAATGTTCAGATAATCAATATAATAAAAAATACTAATACCAAATCTGTAAATAGTCAGAATTGTAGTATACATATACTAGGGATTAAAGTGCATCTTTTTATCTCATGGTTTATTCATTGATTGATTAAACGACAATTTAAACTATAGTCTTTTTAACATTTCTTGTATATATTTTACATTCTGTTATTAACTTGATGATGGTATATTTCAATTAACAATTAATGACGCTTTTATACAATTTATTCATGTTTATGGATGAACACTTTCTCATTTAGATAATTATTAAAAAAAAAACAAAACTTACTAGCCAGAACTGGCAGAAGCTGATGCTTGTGCGTGTCCTCCTCCATGTCCCCCGTGTCCACCACCTCCATGTCCTCCATGTCCACCACCTCCATGTCCACCGCCTCCATGATGACCACCTGTAACGGAAATGGTTGAGATACATAGCATAAAGATCAATCTTTCCAAACTAAATTGCAGAGGATATGAAAAAAATATTAATCGTGGTTTTGATTTAATTATAAAAGAAGTTTTAAACCAACTTTCGAAGAAAGTCATAATAAAACTTACATTCTTGTTTAATAAGTTGTAAAAAGTAGCTGAAGTCATGATTCTCAAACAAAAAACTCCCAACGAAGTTTCATCATATGGGTCAATTCTTTTTATATTTTATATTATTGAAACTATTTAAAAAATATACTAGAGTGACCTCTTCTTATAAATTTCAAAATAAGAAAAACTTTATTGAAGAAACTTTACGATAAATCTCTAATGTGAGGGTTTTATTAAAGAATTGTATCTTGATCATACTAAATATTACAAATACTATTAATTAATTAACATTTATTTAATGATTTTGGAAAACTTACCACCTCCTGAATGACCACCTCCACCATCTGGGTATCCGCCACCACCACTTGGATATCCTCCACCTCCGGCGCCACCGCCGCCTCCACCTCCCCATCCACCGCCGCTTCCTTTACCGCCTCCTCCGCCTCCTCCACCACCCCATCCGCCGCCGCCTCCTTTACCGCCACCTCCTCCAAATCCTCCTCCTATTCCGCCACCGCCTCCGTATCCACTGCCGCCGCCACCACCGAAACCTCCACCGCCACCGCGGGATCCATAGTTTCTTTTTTCACGTAGTAGACCCTTAAAAGAAAATAAAACAATGTGAATTATATTTTTTTTGTATAAATAAGTGTAAAACATTTAAGGGGGTGATTCTTCATCGAAAAAAAGATAGGATCTTTCATATAAAGAAACTTCATTGGAGCATCCCTTGTTAAGATACAGCCCCTTAATAAAATGTGTTTAACAATTTTTTTCACAAGCACTAAACAAGTTACAATATTGAAATTAACCTGACATTTTCTACTACCAAAAAGACATTTAGCCAGTAATTTATTTGGTTTACCCCATGGTTGTAAGGGGCGGAAAACGCAACCCCTAAAATTTCGTTCCAACGTAACTTTTTGTCTTATTATTTGTTTACCATTTAAAATTTTATTTCCGATAGCCTGTTTCATTCTAAACAAAAAATGTCTGTTGAATTTTTTGCCCAAAATAAACCAGTTCTCAGCAAAAAATTATTTTACGAACTACAGAGATACATCGTCATAAATGCGAACTATTATATGGAAATCGTCTTCTGTATTCTGTGAAAATTGTCATGGAACAACATATAGCTTTTATTCCACTACAATTTCCATAGAATACATGAAAGATTTAAACGCATTTGCAATAAGACGGATATTTTTCCCAAAACTTTTGTTACATACGTTAATCGGCAAACATTTACTACTTTTATAATATAAACAAACGTGCAAATCTTAAATTGTTAACATTGGTATATTAATTTTTTGAATAATTGGACATGAATTCTTACGTATCTTTAGAATTTATTGCTAGTTCAAATTTTTAAAAAATTTCGAATAATTTTCTTTTTAATATATATTGTATTCCATATCAAAATACCTCTCAAATTGTATTAAATATTTGACTTTTTCATGTTTCATTATTTTTTCTAATTCCGTTTAGTAAAATTGGAAATATCATTAAGATGAAATGAACTACATAAACTACGAAATATAAGTGATACAGAAGGAATTTTGAATTAAAAACATTTTTCAAAAAAATATATAGATATTTACCTCTACAGATTTTGAATCCGCTATGGCAGCAAAGCCAATGATAGCCACACCAACTACTATAAACCACTTCATTTCTGCTAATGCTTCTGTATCGGTGCACCTAATCAATTTATATGAAAACCGCTGGTTTTTTTTTCTAATTAAAGGTCATAATTTATGTAATCATCACTTGTCTGATGCTGAAAAAAAATCTATTGTGCGAATTTCTTGAGAATCTTATTCGGTGAATAAATAATTCAAGATCACTTAAACTAACGTACCTGCTTCGTATTTCGTAGTTCCCCCCCGGAAAGGAAAAGTTGTTTTCAAGTTGAAGGCCCACTCGGTGGAAAAAAAAATTGGTTTGGATCGTAAGCGCAATTAGTGTGAAGCACTGAGTTCAGAGAATTCATCACGATGTTGATAAAAAAAAGTATTTCTTGACCACGATTTGGTACTTCATGCTGTTTGCGTGTATAAAAAAATATCTTATAATTTTTTTAGAAGTTCGTGGTACTATCTGTAATTGTAAGGTGATGGAGGGTGGAAGGCTCACTGGTTGATATATTAGTAAAAAAAATCATAATTGGAGTTGGCTGTAAAATTTAAATATTTGGGTTGGTACTTTATACATAATTATCAAAACTTTTATAAAGAAAATTAGGTTTAAAAAATTGCTTAAATAAGAAGAAATGAGAAAAACACGAAGTCTGTCAACCACAGGACTCTTAATTAGATTTTTTTAAACATCAATACATTACTGACAAATCGTCGTATGTGTCTTTAAACAATTTTTTGTTATAATATTACAAAATTTGGTATATCCTATATCGTCCTTCGGTGGCGTTCTTGAATTGCATAAAGCAATACTTTCATTACATATCCTGTCAAATTTAAAGACATTTATACTTACTTTTATAGAGTATACATTTATATAAATTGGGTAATGATAAGATATATTTCATACCAACCCTTCTATGTGTCCTGATCAAATAAATAGCCGATTTACCATCAGATATAAACAGTTGAAGAATTCAAAAGGATATACATCGGATGTCCTTAGAAATGAACTGTTTTAAATATTTTATGGTGGTATAATTCATTGGAAAATGCATCCTGGAGCGTGTCCATCTCACAGTACCCAAATATGACATTAAATACCAAATGTTTATAATGGAAAAATAACCATTATGTAAAAATCAATAGGGATAGAAAACTAAAACTAGACCTATCAAAAAGAAAACATCATTTTCTATAGTATAGGGTATTTCTAACATTGATTTAAAATTAATTGTAATTTTAATTTAAGGGAGAGACTCAAAAAAAATTTCACTTTTTGTGTCTCTCCCTTAAATTAAAATTACAATTGATTTTAAATTGATGTTAGCAATACCCTATACTATAGACAAAGATGTTTTCTTTTTGATATGTATAGTTATAATTTTCTATCCCTATTGGTTTTTACATAATGGGTATTTTTCCAAATTTTATCTCGTTTTTTGTGTAAAAATTTGGAGAAATACCCATTATGTAAAAACCAATAGGGATAGAAAATTAAAACTAGACCTATCAAAAAGAAAACATCATTTTCTATAGTATAGGGTATTTCTAACATTGATTTAAAATTAATTGTAATTTTAATTTAAGGGAGAGACTCAAAAAAAATTTCACTTTTTGTGTCTCTCCCTTAATTTAAAATTACAAATAATTTTAAATCGATTTTAGAAATACCCTATACTATAGAAAATGATGTCTGCTTTTTGATAGGTCTAGTTTTAATTTGCTATCCCTATTGGTTTTTACACAATGGGTATTTTTATAAATTTTATCTCATTTTTTGTGTCTCTCCCTTAAATTAAAATTAAAATTATTTTAAATCAATGTTAAAAATACCCTATACTATAGACAATGATGTTTTTTTTTTGATAGGTCTAGTTTTAATTTTCTAGCCCTATTGGTTTTTACATAATGGGTATTTTTCCAAATTTTATCTCGTTTTTTATGTCTCTCCCTTAAATTAAAATTACAATTAATTTTAAATCGATGTAAGAAACACCCTATACTATAGAAAATAAGGTTTGCTTTTTGATAGGTCTAGTTTTAATTTGCTATCCCTATTGGTTTTTATATAATGGGTATTTTTCCAAATTTTATCTCACTTTTTGTGTCTCTCCCTTGAATTAAAATTAAAATTAATATTAAATCAATGTAAGAAATACTATTTATTATAGACAATGATGTTTTCTTTTTGATAGGTCTAGTTTTAATTTTCTACCCCTATTGGTTTTTACATAAAGGGTATTTTTCCAAATTTTATCTCATTTTTTGTGCCTCTCCCTTAATTTAAAATTACAAATAATTTTAAATCGATTTTAGAAATACCCTATACTATAGAAAATGATGTTTGCTTTTTGATAGGTCTAGTTTTAATTTGCTATCCCTATTGGTTTTTACATAATGGGTATTTTTATAAATTTTATCTCGTTTTTTGTCTCTCCCTTAAATTAAAATTAAAATTAATTTTAAATCAATGTTAAAAATACCCTATACTTTAGACAATGATGTTTTCTTTTTGACAGGTCTAGTTTTAATTTTCTATCCCTATTGGTTTTTACATAATGGACATTTTTCCAAATTTTATCTCTTTTTTTTGTGTAAAAATTTGGAAAAATACCCATTTTGTAAAAACCACTAGGGATAGAAAATTAAATCTAGACCTATCAAAAAGAAAATATCATTTTCTATAGTATAGGTTATTTCTAACATTGAATTAAAATTAATTGTAATTTTAATTTAAGGGAGAGACTCAAAAAAAAATTTCGCTTTTTGTGTCTCTCCCTTAAATTAAAATTACAAATAATTTTAAATCGATGTAAGAAACACCCTATGCTATAGAAAATGATGTTTGCTTTTTGATAGGTCTAGTTTTATTTTTCTATTCCTATTGGTTTTTACATAATGGGTATTTTTCCAAATTTTATCTCGTTTTTTGTGTCTCTCCCTTAAATTAAAATCAAACTTAATTTTAAATCGAAGTTAGAAATATCCTATACTATAGACAAAGACGTTTTCTTCTTGACAGGTCTAGTTTTAATTTTCTATCCCTATTGGTTTTTACATAATGGGTATTTTTCCAAATTTTATCTCGTTTTTTGTGTCACTCCCTTAAATTAAAATTAAAATTAATTTTAAATCAATGTTAGAAATACCCTATATTATAGACAATGAAGTTTTCTTTTTGACAGATCCAGTTTCAATTTTCTATCACTATTGGTTTTTACATAATGGGAATTTTTCCAAATTTTATCTCTATTTTTTTGTGTAAAAATTTGGGAAAATATCCATTATGTAAAAATCACTAGGGATACAAAATTAAAACTAGACCTGTCAAAAAGAAAACATCATTTTCTATAGTATATGTTATTTCTAACATTGATTTAAAATTAATTGTAATTTTAATTTAAGGGAGAGACTTAAAAAAAATTTCGCTTTTTGTGTCTCTCCCTTAAATTAAAATTACAAATAATTTTAAATCGATATTAGAAATACCCCTTACTATAGAAATTAATGTTTTCTTTTTGATAGGTCTAGTTTTAATTTTCTATCCCTATTGGTTTTTACATAATGGGTATTTTTCCAAATTTTAACTCGTTTTTTTGTGTCTCTCCCTTAAATTAAAATTAATATTAAATCAATGTTAGAAATACCCTTTATTATAGACAATGATATTTTCTTTTTGATAGGTCGTTTTAATTTTCTATCCCTATTGGTTTTTACATAATGCGTATTTTTCCAAATTTTATCTCGTTTTTTGTGTCTCTCCCTTAAATTAAAATTACAATTAATTTTAAATCGATGTTAGAAATACCCTATACTATGGACAATGATGTTTACTTTTTAACATACTCTATATAAAAAAAAACGTCTTGGAGTATCTGCAAATACTACTCTGCCTACTCTTTTATTACTTGGAATAGGTGGAGAAGTTATAGTTTTAATAATAATAATACATTTATACCTCACACAGTGAGTCCTCATTTCACTTTGTGGGATTTCATCCTTGATTTGTTTCGATGTCACCTTCATAAGATGTAGGCAGAACAAATTCATAAATGGGTAATATTTTTGTATACAATAACTTAAATAAGCTGAATATGTACTCGTAGTATTCACAAAAAAAAAAAATGCTTATAAAATAGTTTTAAAAATAGTCCAAACAAAGATACCCCAAGTAGCTTTAAGTTAGCAAATCATTGGTTACCATGCTAGTATAAACCGCAAACGGTTTCAAATTATTTTATATAGTATCTCTTTATTTAATTTTAAAGATATTTCTTTATCTTTTTTGCCAACTATCTTCTGTTTTTGTTCGTTAAGCTTTGCTTCGTCATTCTTATCTGTTTGTGCATATTTCTTTAGGTCTTCCACTTGATTTATAATAATTATAATACATATTTTAATAGTTTAGTAGATGTAATTATTTATAGTCAGATATCAGAAATTAGGTATTTAAAAGAATGATAAACGAAGTATTAACTCAGAATTATAGAAAATCAACATAAACAAATATAAAGTTTGCCTGCAGGAAATTTAATTGATATTATTGTACTTACTAGAGCCTCTGATGTAAAAAATAGGTTTTTCAAGTCAAAACTAATCATATCTAAAAATAATTCTCACGAAGTAACCATTTGCAATAATTATATAAAGTATTTCTTTTGTATTTTTTATAATGGAAATAATAGTTTTAAGTATATTACAAAAAACCAACCATAAAAATTATTTATTGTCAGGAAATCGTTTTGAAAGGTGATTAGATAATTTATAATTTTTACTTTACATACTAATCAAAATTACTTGATAATTTGCATTCAACGTAATATCATATATTAATAATAATAATTAGTAATCATTTGAGATTGCTTATAATCTTTATTCATATTTTTTACGTTTCCATCTTCACAAGATGATTTAATGAGCAAATTTTCAAAATAGTTATTTTTTAAGCAGTAATTTTTTGTAAAAGACCTTGTATAAATAACTATATTGAGTAAGAGTTTGTTACTTCAAATATAGACGTAATTATAAGAATGTTATTACCGGGATAAGGACATTAACTTCTTTATTTTCCGACGTTTCGTCGTTTATTTTACATCTTCATGAAGGCTTAAAATACATTATTATAAATATCGCTTGTAA